GTAGAGGAGGTAGCCAGTTGGGAGGTATGCCAAGAGGCACTTCTCGTCAGGGCACTTGTTACCAGAGCAGCCTCATTTAATTGCAGGTAAATGACTCAAAAATTCGGCAGTTTGCCTTTTATTTTCTTCATCTAAATTAAAACACTTGCATCCTTATCGCATTATGTGGTGCCCAGAATAGGTGATGAGCTGTGGCAGTCACAAATTTGCCTCAGCTTTTGTGTCAGTGGAAGGGCTGTAGAGGGGCCCCCAATGTGGAAATAGATAGAGTGGATGTGAATGCAAGATCATATTGTTTCCTAAAAAGAAAAATGAAGGAGATGCCTCTCAGCTTGGGTTGGACGAACTTCTGTCACAGACGCACTTTTGGCGCCAAAACAAAAGGCGGTGTGGCACGTGGGACCGTTGGCATCATTAACTAAGGAAGCAGAAATGCGAGTATATGGAAAAGAGTGCTCTAAAATAGCCTTCACAGTTGCAATTGTTGTGTATTTTTCCCCTCTGTTGGGAACTTGACGCGCCACCACCCTGGGAGGTAAGGGCTCATCTACGCTGTTCTACGATGGGTGTGCTTCGTGGGTGGAGGGCAACGAAACAAGACACCTCTTGCGATATTTAAAAAATGCCAAATTTTTTTCCTTGCATTTCTACAATGATGTTCTCGTGTCCTTCCATCCTTACCGCCGCCACAGTTAAAATTCGAATTCAGCTTTCAGCTACGGTTTCTCCCACCGGGTCCACAACAGCTTCCTTCGCACTTTGATTGCGCCTATGAAATTTATAATCTTTTCAAAATAGTAATTACATTACATAGTCAATAAAAACTGTTTTTTTTGTTGGGCAGAACAGTTGTGTCTCATTTTTGACTTAATGTAGTGCAATTTTGGCAGCAGTTAGAGAATCCATGGAGAGGGTTAAATGAACAAGGAAATGAGAGGGGATAAATTGAGCAGTATATTTGAAATACTTTGTAAATCTGATATTATTACAGTTTGCTCATGATACTTTGCAGGCACTACAAGACGGGATTGACGCACCTGAGGCCTGTCAAGTGATAGCCATTTAGCCGCACGGCAGACAAAATCTACTCTTTCAGTTCACCATTTACGTTATTTAAATGGCAGACAGCCTATTTTTAAGGAGTTAAAAAGGGAAGGGGAAGGAGGAAGGAAGCGAGACATAATCTGACTTGTGAATGAGGAGAAACAAAATGAAGACAAGGGTGGCAAGTGCCACAAGTTGTATTGAAGGGAGCCTGCACACCCTACTTATTATTGAGGGCAGTAGTATATCCATGTGCCTAACCATGTCACTTGGCCACTTCGCCGTTGTTGGTCGCTTGCATCTCTCTCGTGCGACTTCATCTAGGTTTAAGTCAAATAGGGATTTTGTGATTTAAAAGCTACAAAATTATGGTGAGAAGTAAAAAGAGCATTTGACTTTCCCCACAGTCTCCAGCTACTGCATTTGACACCGCAAGGCTTGCCATTACAGTTAAATTATCCTAGAATACTTGAATTCACTTTCTCCCAGGTGCTGATCTGCCAACCTAGACAAGCTTCCACTGCTTTGCCGTCTCCTTTTTACTCAGGAAATAAGCGCTACACGAAGGGTACTCACATCTGCGAAACGTGAAAGTCTCCCGTGGCAGTGTGCTAAGACACTTCAAAACTGCGAATGCTCACTAAGGATTGGATCCATCACTCCATGGAAAAATAGGTCTCCTTAGTCTCTTGCTCACTGCTAATGTTTTGGTATGCCAGTGTTAGGCATTCCACGTGCTTGCTGATCGCAGGGATGACTGTTGGAGATGTGAAGTCAAAATGCCAAAATGTCGTCAGTAATCCCATAACCAAAGTGTACCGCACTCGAGCTGTCCCGATGATGATATCCACAAGTTCAAGTTCTATGCATTCGTTCAAAGGAGCCTTCATTAAGCCTTATATGCTGCTGAATCAGAGTACGCGTAGTTCTGCTAGGCCTTTCAGCTGAAGGCGTCAGGACTCGAGTCGCATCCATTATCCACGCAGCAAAGTTGCCGTAGCATCTCTTTTACTAGCAGCTAACAGGATACGAAAAGTCGCGGTTTAACCGGAACGCCCCTGAAAGGGACAAAGTTCCTTGTTTCAAATCAAAACAATTAACATATTCATCTTCACTGAAAATGTTGAAACTCTTGAAAGGGTAATCAATTTTGATCGGTTCCATTGTTCTGGAGAGTCCTGTGTTTTGCTGACCAACTCTTCTTCCAACTTGTGCCAGTGGAATGAGTCTCGCTACTGTTGACAGAAAAAGGAACTGCTCTACTAAATTACCTACCACTCACCTCCTTATTGTTTTTTCAATCGCATTTTTGATGCCTTCAAAGATGTCACTTCCTCATCAAGCAAGTTGCATAAAATGTTGCACTACTCTAATGGCGTTAGTCGTCCACCCTATAATTACTTCAAGGAGTGACTGGCAGCCTTGAGGCATTTACTAAATCAACAATCCTGTTTCTTCTCTTAGACATTTAGGCAGGACTGCGAATTCATACCTCACACCAAGCGCTGGAGGGCGTTGTTTTAATTAACAACTGGCAGTCTCAACGACGAACAAATCCTTGCCACTACTAGTCATGAATACACTTGGTGGAGAACTGTGAAGGAAAATAGAGGAAGGAAATTTGAGTTTACAGGGTGGATGCAGACAATGTTTTGATAAAAAAAGCTGATAAGAAGTAGGCTAACGAGGAGCATGTCTGCGACCATTGGGGTATTTTGGTCATAAAAAGGTTGTCTTCACAAACGTGTTACCTTTGAGTGGCGGATTAGAGGCTAAATGTGTTCTGCCATCCCACAATCTGGTGAAAAGAAATGCATTTTTCCACTGGTGTGGAGGAATCGCCTCTACAATAGCAAAGAAGTGGAACAAGGCAATACCGGTCGCCGTGATTTTAAGTGATGTAACAAACTTGGAGGACCATTTGAAGTTCTTCCAGGAGGAAGCGTTAATTAATACCGTTGGTGAAGGCCTTTTGTACTGTTGGGGTCCATAGGAGAGAAAAAAGGCGGAAGTTTTAAATTACCTTAGCTGAAGAAGCAGAAGTCCGTTGTTTCACATGTCCACTTACCAAATCAAAGAGAGTGCCACCTACCGTCGTCATGGGTCCAAATGCATTCAGATTGAAGGGTGGATGTGCGTCAACCGATCGGTGCAGTAGCTCTCAGTGTGCTTTCCTCCATTTGTCTTTTTCGCCTCTGAATGTGCTCCGACTCCAAATTTGGTGCAGCCACAGAGCCGTCAAAGCCTTCCGTCACAGTCGCTGTTTAGCCTTCACCGACGGTCGGTGAGCAATGTGTGGCGGGTAGCAGATGGGTGCTTCCTCCAGCAAGGAGTTTAACCGATTGAACTCGACTGATAAATCCCCAAATAGCGGATTATTTTGTCAAGCAGGCCGTTTTTTGTCCTTATTATGAAAAAAGGACTGTTTTGTGGTCTTAGATGTAATTGAGGCGTTCTATTCAAAAGTGTCAAGTCGACAAAGCGCTGCTTTGACATTAAGAGGGAATGAAGGCTTCGTAAAAGGCTGCCGCGCACACCTTGAAAAAAATGTATCCAAATTGTCTACAACAGCTACCGAATTGTTGGTGTTCTTTGCTACTTCCCTTAGTTACTTTACAATCCCACTAGTTATGGCCAACTGGCTCACTTGCCACCCTTCCCACGCCCTACTCTCACAGGACCGCCTGCTTTGTGTGTGATGGACATCATTCACTAGGGATTGCCTAATTCCTAGGGAACAGATGCTTACTTCTTCGATTTGCCTGCATGAGAAGATGCAACTTGCACAGGTAAAGGGAAAAATACTTTCTCTTAGAAAGAGTCAGAACTAGTGGTTGGTGAACCAGCGGGAAGAAGACGGCAGAACTATGGATCGCACTTCTCATACCGACGCTGCTCTCAACCGCAAGAGAATTATATTTTTCGTCTTTTTTTGTCTTTTATGTTTTCAGCATAATTATGAATGCAACCATTTCTTTGACCATGACATTGCCAATTGATAGTCATCTGCGTGAAACAGAAAAGCCGGTGAGGTGAGACAAGTGAGATCGAAAGCAGGTTTGCCTCTCTCTTTGGGTGAAAGAAGTGTTGAAGGTAGATAATCTGCTTTATGAATGGCTACTCCTATCACTGAGGGATATATGATGTGGTAACTACTTAATAGAGCTATCACATCAAAAGAAATCATATTCAATTTTAATGAGTTTTTCTAAAGGATAAAAATTAAGATTAACAAAAAATAAGAAAATTTATTGGTTTGTTTAGCTGTGTAGCAGAGTACTAAGGGTATGTCTGTCTCCGAGATTTACACTACCACTCTGTGGTGTAGTCCTTCGACCATCCTGACCTACTAAGTAGTAAATAGTGAGTAGTATGCTTCCCACTTCAACCCCAGTTTATTACTATATAGAAGAAGACTTAGAAAGTGACACTGGCACTGCTATCTTTACATTTGTGAGATTTTTTCATCACTAGGAGCAAACAACCTGGCTTCAGTTGCCTTCGTTCCCACCTTTTCCCAATTTCACCCTTGCCTCCTCCAACTCGCATGAGTTCACCTGCCTGGCTAATGCAGATGCCAGGAAGGTGTAACGGAGGAGGTGAAATTTGCCTTTACGTCAGAGACGTCAAATTAGAGTGTCAACGAGAGTGGAGCACCTCGGCGTCGTACATTCGACAGCCACTACTTCCTCAAGCACCTCGTAGGTTTGAAGTAAAGGAACCTTTTAGGCTTTTGTAATTACTTATTTTGAGTTGTTTCCAAACACACTCACTCCTTATTAATTAAAATCAAGTGTAGAAGTGGGATTATGTGTTCCGCTTGACACAAAGATGATCCTGCGAGAAGTTCTCTCTGATGGCACTGCAGGTACCAGGATGGAACATTTCCCAGCGTCTTCGTAATTACCTATCCTTCGTCTGCAATACGATGGGGCTACTGATGGAGGAAGTCGCATTGGTTAGGTGGAAAAGTGGACAATACTCCAGTGGGACAAATAAAATTTCACGGAGAGTTATTTGTGACCTTCACTTTACTGCATCACCCTTCTGCAGACATACCGTACGCCAACTCATAAACAATGATTGAAAGGAAATATAATTAATGCCTGTCCATCAAAGTGGTGATAAGTAAACGAAAAAAAAAAAAACAGAAAGGCACGAAATAACAGACGGCGATAAGGGTATCTTTAAACTGTAGGGCATAATGAACAAAGGGATGGGTTGATACCTCCTTTCCACAAATAGCTGTTAAGAGGTCACAAAAGTAACAATAAAAGCCAACCATTTGATATGAAATGAGAAGTAAGGGACAGGATATCCTTACTTCTCTTTGAAATGGGTGCAGCAATGCCAGTCAACATGGCCTGGGGTGGGACATTGGCACACCTGGCACCTGGAAGTGCGGTGATTGGTCAATTCGCCTGTCCGGTAGACAGGAGCAATTGGCTGTCAAGGCGAACAATCCGAGTTTTGACAATCGCTATTGCTTTAGGCAGAGGAGACAATGAATCCAAACTGACCAATTAGTAACAGAATGGCAGAACTTCTTGTCTTTGGAGGTCAATTTTGCCATTTAGATGGGAACACTGAGTTGAAAAGTAGTAGAAATGAAATCTTTTTGGCAATGAGTCAAAAAAAATTTAAGAGGCTTGCAAAAGGATCATTTTCCCTTTTTCTTTACTCCAGTGGGTTCTCCTTGGAGTGGCAAAAAGACAGAGCAAATTGGAAGGGGAATGGTTTGTTTTTGAAAAGGGTGAGGATGAAAAAGATGCAACCACAGACTTTCCGCCATGCCGCAAGGTGACGCAACAAAAGAAGTAATCTGAAGAGCCTGCATAATTTGATGTATAGAAAAGCAAATGTTAAGTCATTGCATACCTCTCTGTTTCCTTTTTTGCTCCTTTTTGTAAGTAGTCTCCCAACTTTGTCTGGTGGCCACAAAAGGGACTACTCAGCACTGCAATATAACAAAAACTTTTCATCTTTTGCGATCTGCTGCTTAAAATGAATGCTTGAATGTTGTATACTTTGTTAAAATGTGTGCTCAATTACCCGGTCAAATCAGTCTCTGCCAGTTAAGCTTCCGCCTTGAGGCATGGGTTAGGCTCATAGCCTCCCAGCTCTTCCCTTTACGTCAGGGGGATAGGTTTACGTCTCCCACCCTGGAACGGCACGACTTTGGTCAAGGCTCAAAGGGTTGGGAGTGTCACGTTCTTTCTTGCATTTGACCGTGGGATTTATCTTTTTCAATGTTTCCTTAAAAATACTTTAACGGCCAATTTTATTCATGTCTTTTGAATTTTGTTACCATCTTTGTTGCCAAGGGATAAACGGCAAACATCAAGTCCTATTGCACAATCACCACCTTGGCTGCCTTGTGAAGCTGCAAATTCTTGAATACCTTGAATAATCACCGACTTTTCATAGCATTGATAAAGGCATCAAACGCTTGCCTAGTAAAGCAGGCTTTCTCTGGGTCCCTTTACTTCCCCAAATGCGTTAAAACGACTTCCAGTGGGCAATTACTGCTTCTTAACTCCCACTTGTTGAGTGAGTCCAATGCATTATTAAGATTGGGAACGAAGTCTTCCATTAGGCGATGCTGCACTATCTTGATATAACATACACCTTAACCGAGGAATACAAGCCGTTATCGAGGCACTCAGTTGCGAAGCGGTTTGCCTAACGGGAGGTGGTATCCAAATCCTCACCCTCTGCTAGAGCGTTTCATCGATGAAACTGCAAACCTAGTTTTGAAGATCCCCACTTTCTGAGTGGTTAAAATATCCTGTTAGGATTGAGCAGGAAGCCTGCAATTTGACGATGCTTCACCTCTGGAGGTTTGATGACATGCGTCTTAACCAAGACATGCAAGCAGGAGGCGAGTCAAGTGGTTACCCTTCTGCGTGTGTCTACTGCTTGGTAGTATCCAGATCCCTACCCTCCCTCATAGAGCGTCTCGTCGATCTAAATCAAACTTTGTGTTAAGGATTAGCATTGTGGTGAGCAATCATAGGAAAATATGTCTATTAGACTTATTTTTGACGGAACAAACATCTGCTTTTTATACAATGATAAGGTTAATAACTACGGAACCATCCCGAGAATGTCTGCTTGCGTGGCAAAGTAGTGCAGTCGACTTTGCGTCAGACGAAAAAAGTGCTTGTAGGTCAAACTGACCAAGGATTCATCCAAATTGGTCAATAAAATCGCCAAAATGTTTACCCATCTCATTCGAATTAGCATTGCAGATTTCATTGCTTTGGTGGGTGAATTTGGTGAACTGAAAAGGAAATATTGTCATTTGTGAAAATGTTTTGTTCTTTTTATAGCAATGGCAAATCCACCATTAAATTATTTTACGGGAACATTTCTTGGTTGAAGGACTGACGCTTGCGCCACAGAACTGATCAAATAAGTCACCACCACCATCCATCCATTCAATGACCACAAATGCAGTGATTGTCTTCACAACCAGAAGCATTGGCTGAAAACATAAGGTTTAATGTATTCATTTAGACCCTTAACCGATAGACGAACTCACATGTCACACATGGGTGACGCGTAAAGTTAAGCAAGGATCATGAAATCGGTGTGTCTCATGCACATGTAGAGGAGGTAGCCAGTTGGGAGGTATGCCAAGAGGCACTTCTCGTCAGGGCACTTGTTACCAGAGCAGCCTCATTTAATTGCAGGTAAATGACTCAAAAATTCGGCAGTTTGCCTTTTATTTTCTTCATCTAAATTAAAACACTTGCATCCTTATCGCATTATGTGGTGCCCAGAATAGGTGATGAGCTGTGGCAGTCACAAATTTGCCTCAGCTTTTGTGTCAGTGGAAGGGCTGTAGAGGGGCCCCCAATGTGGAAATAGATAGAGTGGATGTGAATGCAAGATCATATTGTTTCCTAAAAAGAAAAATGAAGGAGATGCCTCTCAGCTTGGGTTGGACGAACTTCTGTCACAGACGCACTTTTGGCGCCAAAACAAAAGGCGGTGTGGCACGTGGGACCGTTGGCATCATTAACTAAGGAAGCAGAAATGCGAGTATATGGAAAAGAGTGCTCTAAAATAGCCTTCACAGTTGCAATTGTTGTGTATTTTTCCCCTCTGTTGGGAACTTGACGCGCCACCACCCTGGGAGGTAAGGGCTCATCTACGCTGTTCTACGATGGGTGTGCTTCGTGGGTGGAGGGCAACGAAACAAGACACCTCTTGCGATATTTAAAAAATGCCAAATTTTTTTCCTTGCATTTCTACAATGATGTTCTCGTGTCCTTCCATCCTTACCGCCGCCACAGTTAAAATTCGAATTCAGCTTTCAGCTACGGTTTCTCCCACCGGGTCCACAACAGCTTCCTTCGCACTTTGATTGCGCCTATGAAATTTATAATCTTTTCAAAATAGTAATTACATTACATAGTCAATAAAAACTGTTTTTTTTGTTGGGCAGAACAGTTGTGTCTCATTTTTGACTTAATGTAGTGCAATTTTGGCAGCAGTTAGAGAATCCATGGAGAGGGTTAAATGAACAAGGAAATGAGAGGGGATAAATTGAGCAGTATATTTGAAATACTTTGTAAATCTGATATTATTACAGTTTGCTCATGATACTTTGCAGGCACTACAAGACGGGATTGACGCACCTGAGGCCTGTCAAGTGATAGCCATTTAGCCGCACGGCAGACAAAATCTACTCTTTCAGTTCACCATTTACGTTATTTAAATGGCAGACAGCCTATTTTTAAGGAGTTAAAAAGGGAAGGGGAAGGAGGAAGGAAGCGAGACATAATCTGACTTGTGAATGAGGAGAAACAAAATGAAGACAAGGGTGGCAAGTGCCACAAGTTGTATTGAAGGGAGCCTGCACACCCTACTTATTATTGAGGGCAGTAGTATATCCATGTGCCTAACCATGTCACTTGGCCACTTCGCCGTTGTTGGTCGCTTGCATCTCTCTCGTGCGACTTCATCTAGGTTTAAGTCAAATAGGGATTTTGTGATTTAAAAGCTACAAAATTATGGTGAGAAGTAAAAAGAGCATTTGACTTTCCCCACAGTCTCCAGCTACTGCATTTGACACCGCAAGGCTTGCCATTACAGTTAAATTATCCTAGAATACTTGAATTCACTTTCTCCCAGGTGCTGATCTGCCAACCTAGACAAGCTTCCACTGCTTTGCCGTCTCCTTTTTACTCAGGAAATAAGCGCTACACGAAGGGTACTCACATCTGCGAAACGTGAAAGTCTCCCGTGGCAGTGTGCTAAGACACTTCAAAACTGCGAATGCTCACTAAGGATTGGATCCATCACTCCATGGAAAAATAGGTCTCCTTAGTCTCTTGCTCACTGCTAATGTTTTGGTATGCCAGTGTTAGGCATTCCACGTGCTTGCTGATCGCAGGGATGACTGTTGGAGATGTGAAGTCAAAATGCCAAAATGTCGTCAGTAATCCCATAACCAAAGTGTACCGCACTCGAGCTGTCCCGATGATGATATCCACAAGTTCAAGTTCTATGCATTCGTTCAAAGGAGCCTTCATTAAGCCTTATATGCTGCTGAATCAGAGTACGCGTAGTTCTGCTAGGCCTTTCAGCTGAAGGCGTCAGGACTCGAGTCGCATCCATTATCCACGCAGCAAAGTTGCCGTAGCATCTCTTTTACTAGCAGCTAACAGGATACGAAAAGTCGCGGTTTAACCGGAACGCCCCTGAAAGGGACAAAGTTCCTTGTTTCAAATCAAAACAATTAACATATTCATCTTCACTGAAAATGTTGAAACTCTTGAAAGGGTAATCAATTTTGATCGGTTCCATTGTTCTGGAGAGTCCTGTGTTTTGCTGACCAACTCTTCTTCCAACTTGTGCCAGTGGAATGAGTCTCGCTACTGTTGACAGAAAAAGGAACTGCTCTACTAAATTACCTACCACTCACCTCCTTATTGTTTTTTCAATCGCATTTTTGATGCCTTCAAAGATGTCACTTCCTCATCAAGCAAGTTGCATAAAATGTTGCACTACTCTAATGGCGTTAGTCGTCCACCCTATAATTACTTCAAGGAGTGACTGGCAGCCTTGAGGCATTTACTAAATCAACAATCCTGTTTCTTCTCTTAGACATTTAGGCAGGACTGCGAATTCATACCTCACACCAAGCGCTGGAGGGCGTTGTTTTAATTAACAACTGGCAGTCTCAACGACGAACAAATCCTTGCCACTACTAGTCATGAATACACTTGGTGGAGAACTGTGAAGGAAAATAGAGGAAGGAAATTTGAGTTTACAGGGTGGATGCAGACAATGTTTTGATAAAAAAAGCTGATAAGAAGTAGGCTAACGAGGAGCATGTCTGCGACCATTGGGGTATTTTGGTCATAAAAAGGTTGTCTTCACAAACGTGTTACCTTTGAGTGGCGGATTAGAGGCTAAATGTGTTCTGCCATCCCACAATCTGGTGAAAAGAAATGCATTTTTCCACTGGTGTGGAGGAATCGCCTCTACAATAGCAAAGAAGTGGAACAAGGCAATACCGGTCGCCGTGATTTTAAGTGATGTAACAAACTTGGAGGACCATTTGAAGTTCTTCCAGGAGGAAGCGTTAATTAATACCGTTGGTGAAGGCCTTTTGTACTGTTGGGGTCCATAGGAGAGAAAAAAGGCGGAAGTTTTAAATTACCTTAGCTGAAGAAGCAGAAGTCCGTTGTTTCACATGTCCACTTACCAAATCAAAGAGAGTGCCACCTACCGTCGTCATGGGTCCAAATGCATTCAGATTGAAGGGTGGATGTGCGTCAACCGATCGGTGCAGTAGCTCTCAGTGTGCTTTCCTCCATTTGTCTTTTTCGCCTCTGAATGTGCTCCGACTCCAAATTTGGTGCAGCCACAGAGCCGTCAAAGCCTTCCGTCACAGTCGCTGTTTAGCCTTCACCGACGGTCGGTGAGCAATGTGTGGCGGGTAGCAGATGGGTGCTTCCTCCAGCAAGGAGTTTAACCGATTGAACTCGACTGATAAATCCCCAAATAGCGGATTATTTTGTCAAGCAGGCCGTTTTTTGTCCTTATTATGAAAAAAGGACTGTTTTGTGGTCTTAGATGTAATTGAGGCGTTCTATTCAAAAGTGTCAAGTCGACAAAGCGCTGCTTTGACATTAAGAGGGAATGAAGGCTTCGTAAAAGGCTGCCGCGCACACCTTGAAAAAAATGTATCCAAATTGTCTACAACAGCTACCGAATTGTTGGTGTTCTTTGCTACTTCCCTTAGTTACTTTACAATCCCACTAGTTATGGCCAACTGGCTCACTTGCCACCCTTCCCACGCCCTACTCTCACAGGACCGCCTGCTTTGTGTGTGATGGACATCATTCACTAGGGATTGCCTAATTCCTAGGGAACAGATGCTTACTTCTTCGATTTGCCTGCATGAGAAGATGCAACTTGCACAGGTAAAGGGAAAAATACTTTCTCTTAGAAAGAGTCAGAACTAGTGGTTGGTGAACCAGCGGGAAGAAGACGGCAGAACTATGGATCGCACTTCTCATACCGACGCTGCTCTCAACCGCAAGAGAATTATATTTTTCGTCTTTTTTTGTCTTTTATGTTTTCAGCATAATTATGAATGCAACCATTTCTTTGACCATGACATTGCCAATTGATAGTCATCTGCGTGAAACAGAAAAGCCGGTGAGGTGAGACAAGTGAGATCGAAAGCAGGTTTGCCTCTCTCTTTGGGTGAAAGAAGTGTTGAAGGTAGATAATCTGCTTTATGAATGGCTACTCCTATCACTGAGGGATATATGATGTGGTAACTACTTAATAGAGCTATCACATCAAAAGAAATCATATTCAATTTTAATGAGTTTTTCTAAAGGATAAAAATTAAGATTAACAAAAAATAAGAAAATTTATTGGTTTGTTTAGCTGTGTAGCAGAGTACTAAGGGTATGTCTGTCTCCGAGATTTACACTACCACTCTGTGGTGTAGTCCTTCGACCATCCTGACCTACTAAGTAGTAAATAGTGAGTAGTATGCTTCCCACTTCAACCCCAGTTTATTACTATATAGAAGAAGACTTAGAAAGTGACACTGGCACTGCTATCTTTACATTTGTGAGATTTTTTCATCACTAGGAGCAAACAACCTGGCTTCAGTTGCCTTCGTTCCCACCTTTTCCCAATTTCACCCTTGCCTCCTCCAACTCGCATGAGTTCACCTGCCTGGCTAATGCAGATGCCAGGAAGGTGTAACGGAGGAGGTGAAATTTGCCTTTACGTCAGAGACGTCAAATTAGAGTGTCAACGAGAGTGGAGCACCTCGGCGTCGTACATTCGACAGCCACTACTTCCTCAAGCACCTCGTAGGTTTGAAGTAAAGGAACCTTTTAGGCTTTTGTAATTACTTATTTTGAGTTGTTTCCAAACACACTCACTCCTTATTAATTAAAATCAAGTGTAGAAGTGGGATTATGTGTTCCGCTTGACACAAAGATGATCCTGCGAGAAGTTCTCTCTGATGGCACTGCAGGTACCAGGATGGAACATTTCCCAGCGTCTTCGTAATTACCTATCCTTCGTCTGCAATACGATGGGGCTACTGATGGAGGAAGTCGCATTGGTTAGGTGGAAAAGTGGACAATACTCCAGTGGGACAAATAAAATTTCACGGAGAGTTATTTGTGACCTTCACTTTACTGCATCACCCTTCTGCAGACATACCGTACGCCAACTCATAAACAATGATTGAAAGGAAATATAATTAATGCCTGTCCATCAAAGTGGTGATAAGTAAACGAAAAAAAAAAAAACAGAAAGGCACGAAATAACAGACGGCGATAAGGGTATCTTTAAACTGTAGGGCATAATGAACAAAGGGATGGGTTGATACCTCCTTTCCACAAATAGCTGTTAAGAGGTCACAAAAGTAACAATAAAAGCCAACCATTTGATATGAAATGAGAAGTAAGGGACAGGATATCCTTACTTCTCTTTGAAATGGGTGCAGCAATGCCAGTCAACATGGCCTGGGGTGGGACATTGGCACACCTGGCACCTGGAAGTGCGGTGATTGGTCAATTCGCCTGTCCGGTAGACAGGAGCAATTGGCTGTCAAGGCGAACAATCCGAGTTTTGACAATCGCTATTGCTTTAGGCAGAGGAGACAATGAATCCAAACTGACCAATTAGTAACAGAATGGCAGAACTTCTTGTCTTTGGAGGTCAATTTTGCCATTTAGATGGGAACACTGAGTTGAAAAGTAGTAGAAATGAAATCTTTTTGGCAATGAGTCAAAAAAAATTTAAGAGGCTTGCAAAAGGATCATTTTCCCTTTTTCTTTACTCCAGTGGGTTCTCCTTGGAGTGGCAAAAAGACAGAGCAAATTGGAAGGGGAATGGTTTGTTTTTGAAAAGGGTGAGGATGAAAAAGATGCAACCACAGACTTTCCGCCATGCCGCAAGGTGACGCAACAAAAGAAGTAATCTGAAGAGCCTGCATAATTTGATGTATAGAAAAGCAAATGTTAAGTCATTGCATACCTCTCTGTTTCCTTTTTTGCTCCTTTTTGTAAGTAGTCTCCCAACTTTGTCTGGTGGCCACAAAAGGGACTACTCAGCACTGCAATATAACAAAAACTTTTCATCTTTTGCGATCTGCTGCTTAAAATGAATGCTTGAATGTTGTATACTTTGTTAAAATGTGTGCTCAATTACCCGGTCAAATCAGTCTCTGCCAGTTAAGCTTCCGCCTTGAGGCATGGGTTAGGCTCATAGCCTCCCAGCTCTTCCCTTTACGTCAGGGGGATAGGTTTACGTCTCCCACCCTGGAACGGCACGACTTTGGTCAAGGCTCAAAGGGTTGGGAGTGTCACGTTCTTTCTTGCATTTGACCGTGGGATTTATCTTTTTCAATGTTTCCTTAAAAATACTTTAACGGCCAATTTTATTCATGTCTTTTGAATTTTGTTACCATCTTTGTTGCCAAGGGATAAACGGCAAACATCAAGTCCTATTGCACAATCACCACCTTGGCTGCCTTGTGAAGCTGCAAATTCTTGAATACCTTGAATAATCACCGACTTTTCATAGCATTGATAAAGGCATCAAACGCTTGCCTAGTAAAGCAGGCTTTCTCTGGGTCCCTTTACTTCCCCAAATGCGTTAAAACGACTTCCAGTGGGCAATTACTGCTTCTTAACTCCCACTTGTTGAGTGAGTCCAATGCATTATTAAGATTGGGAACGAAGTCTTCCATTAGGCGATGCTGCACTATCTTGATATAACATACACCTTAACCGAGGAATACAAGCCGTTATCGAGGCACTCAGTTGCGAAGCGGTTTGCCTAACGGGAGGTGGTATCCAAATCCTCACCCTCTGCTAGAGCGTTTCATCGATGAAACTGCAAACCTAGTTTTGAAGATCCCCACTTTCTGAGTGGTTAAAATATCCTGTTAGGATTGAGCAGGAAGCCTGCAATTTGACGATGCTTCACCTCTGGAGGTTTGATGACATGCGTCTTAACCAAGACATGCAAGCAGGAGGCGAGTCAAGTGGTTACCCTTCTGCGTGTGTCTACTGCTTGGTAGTATCCAGATCCCTACCCTCCCTCATAGAGCGTCTCGTCGATCTAAATCAAACTTTGTGTTAAGGATTAGCATTGTGGTGAGCAATCATAGGAAAATATGTCTATTAGACTTATTTTTGACGGAACAAACATCTGCTTTTTATACAATGATAAGGTTAATAACTACGGAACCATCCCGAGAATGTCTGCTTGCGTGGCAAAGTAGTGCAGTCGACTTTGCGTCAGACGAAAAAAGTGCTTGTAGGTCAAACTGACCAAGGATTCATCCAAATTGGTCAATAAAATCGCCAAAATGTTTACCCATCTCATTCGAATTAGCATTGCAGATTTCATTGCTTTGGTGGGTGAATTTGGTGAACTGAAAAGGAAATATTGTCATTTGTGAAAATGTTTTGTTCTTTTTATAGCAATGGCAAATCCACCATTAAATTATTTTACGGGAACATTTCTTGGTTGAAGGACTGACGCTTGCGCCACAGAACTGATCAAATAAGTCACCACCACCATCCATCCATTCAATGACCACAAATGCAGTGATTGTCTTCACAACCAGAAGCATTGGCTGAAAACATAAGGTTTAATGTATTCATTTAGACCCTTAACCGATAGACGAACTCACATGTCACACATGGGTGACGCGTAAAGTTAAGCAAGGATCATGAAATCGGTGTGTCTCATGCACATGATGATGGCAGAAAACCTGCAATTTACTCTTGCATCAAGTTGAGCTATGCGCCTTTGTCGTTTTTGCGAAGTGTTTTGCCCATTCTCTACATCCAGACATCCATTGCCCCTTCATCGTCACCCATTGCTC